AAGGAAAAGCCCGACCGCTAGGCAGACGCGGGCGAAAGCCCGCAACGCAAAGGGGCTGGGGGGAGACCTGTGCTGGGGCCCGAGGGAGCGGCAGGGCCGGGAGGCATGCAGCGCCCCCCCCCCCCCCCGGGGGGCCGCCCCCGGCCGGGGGCTCCCCGGGCGGGGGAGGGCCCGCCGCCTCTCGCTGGGCCCGCCCGTGCGCCCCGCGGAGCTGCCAGCCCTGCGCCAGCCGGGGTTGAATCCGTGTGGGGGTGAAGCACCGCGGGGTTCGGGAACGGCCCTGGAGGGAGGCCTTTAGCAGTGCGCTCTCGGCCCCGGGTCTTCCCGGTGTTCCTTGTCCCTGAGTGGGCAGTCTTTTCTTTCCCTGCCAGCTCCTGAGGGACATTCAGCATCACCGAGTCTCGTCTGGTTTTAGGCTGTTTTCCAGTTTTATGTTTTGCTGCCCGAGCGGTAGGAGTAAAGACCAGCATTTTTTTGTTTGTTTGTTGTGGTCCGGCACGTGTATGTAGAGTCAGGCAAGGAGAGTGAATAGACTCTGAAGCAGCGATTGGGATCGTCAGGTGGTCACTGAATTTTCCTGTCAACTTGAATTTTCCTAAACACGTCTTCTCTTTTTCAGAGACTGTTGTAGGCTTAGGTTCTTCATATTGTGATGTTGATTTCAGGTAACGAATAGAGGCTGCAAAATCATCCCATGTACAACTCTGGAAGCATGGGATGAACTTTACTCTTCAGCCCTTTGCTAATTGTGCAAATGTTTGAGTCTGAGCAGCGCAGACAGTAGAACTCCAGGTTGGGAGGCAGTGAATTCATTCTCAGTGCTTGACTTTTTTTTGTTGATTGTTTTTGAACACATCTGTAGAAAGCAGAATAGCCCCGTGCAGACATTCAAGGCTGGAAGTAATTCATGAATCCTAACATGGATTACTCAGGAGAGGGGCGCAGCACTCGTGTTCTAGCAGTTACCTATCACAAAAGTTGTAAGTAAGGATTTTCTTCCCAAAACAGCAAGTCGGGTTGTTTTCAGCCTGTTACCCATGGACTTGGTGTCTGTTGGCAAAGTTTGTATATACATACTATAGAGCACTCTGAGAATGTGCCAGGGTACAGTGCCATGAACTGGAGCAGCAGTGATTAGGAAGTCTTGGTAACAGTAGGAAAAGGTCTTACCTAGCAACTGGAACAGGATCTCAACAGTAAGACTTGGTCTGATAATTCAGCTTGTGCATGGAATGATATTGGATTTCTTGCCCTATGAACATGGCTCTAAATCTTTTAGGTCATCTAAACATCAGGTGCAGAGAAGCTTGGTCTGGCGTTGCCTTTAATTCTTTTAGCCATGCCCTCTAGAGCCTTATTGCTGCCTCTTTTTGGAGATGGGTTTGCACAGTTCCTTGCCACAAGCTTAGGAAATGAAGCTCGCCTTTTTCCTCCTGACAGGAGCATGGATTTTTGGTATACATGTGTCTCTCTTGCATACCATGTCTGTCAGGAGTTGGCAAAGAAAAGTGCTGAAAAATTTTTAACAGATTTCCTCAAAAAAAAAAACCCAAACGAACAGCTAACAGAATTCCAGTTGACTTGAATCTGCGGAAATTAAAATTGCAGTGCAACAGTGGGATTGTTTTCAGAGAACTTAAACCTACACGTGCACAGGCATGTCCGCGTTAGCTGTGTAACAGTGGTCAGGTACTATTTTATGGTTGCTCACAGAGACGTATGTCGGGCAGCCTTTAAATTATGTTGAATTACTGTCAGATTGTGCACAGATGTATTTTGTTTACGAAAATTATAATTTACAAGAACCCATCTTATGTAAACAAAATTTCTAGTGTACACCTGGCCTTAAATTTGATTTGAGTCCTGCATATGTTGAGGCTGAATTTGGTGGAAGTCAGAATGAGTCCTTATCTTCACTGTAGCAAAATTTGGGTCACAAAGAGGCTGGAAAATCCTATTTGAACTTTTTGCCCACAAGCAGGAGGAAGCAGCCTAATATACTGTTCAGTTTCCCAATAGTGAGAAAAAAAAGGCAGAAGTAGTGCAACTCATGTTAAGTTTTTACGTATTAACCAAACAAATATTTCAAGTCCTGTTATTTGATAGAATTAAACAACAATTTTGATTCATTTCCATTTTGTTCCTCAGATTGATATACTTGAAGATCCTGTTATTAAGAATGTCATTGTGCTGCAGACAGTCTTACAAGAAGTCAGGAATCGGAGTGCACCAGTGTACAAGCGAATTAGGGACGTGATTGGAAACCCTGAAAAACATTTCTATTCTTTCACCAATGAACATCATCGGTAAGGTGTGGAATAGGGTATAATAAAGTTATACTGATGTCCAGTAAAAGAAACTGGGAAACAGAACTGGAACATGTCAACTAGGTAAAAAGAAATTAGACTGAGGTGCATAGAACTGTATACTTCTAAGGAATCCTGTTGGGAAATAGTTGCATGTTTCAGGAACTTTTCTGTTTTATAATCAATATAAGCATATATAGTATGAAAAGGTGATTAGAATATTGAATAAAATTTATAAACAAGACTAACCTGAGCAATGGAATAATGCTTTTCCATGTTAGTGTCCCTTTTAAACATTAAAAAAAATCTTTTGGTTCGTGATAGAAAGGTCTAAGAAATGAAGATGCAATTCATTTGCCTTTATTTGTGTTCACAAGTAGTTTTCACTACTGCAGTATCATAGTTCTAGGAATCTTAAATGCATAGTTCTAGCATCTTGAATGCAGTCCTCTTCAATTGTCAGTGAGAAGGTTGTATTAGAAATTAACGCTTCCTTGCTATTTTTTTTTTGACTCTTGTGTCTGCTGACCCTTCTTCAGTGGCCTATAGTGTTTTACACATATTATAAAAATGAGTACAGCAATTATTTTTTTGGCCTCACAATCTTGATCATGTTTGTCTGAAAAATGTTTGTAAGTATGGATAGATGTTGGGATTTGTTTTGTTTTGTGTCCCCCCTTTTATTTATTTAGAGAAACATACATACAGCAAGAGCAAGGAGAAACTTCTAATGACCGCAATGACAGAGCCATTCGGGTAGCAGTAAAATGGTACAATGAACACTTGAAGAAAATAGAGAATGAGGAGAAGATCCAAGTTATCTTTTTAACAAATGACAGAACTAATAAAGAGAAAGCTCTAGAGGAAGGGATAACTGCTTATACGTGTAAGTGAAGTGGCATGAATGTTTAATTTATTGCTCAGATATACAATCTCAGCAGTGTCTTCATACCTAAATCTTGTGCATCTCTTGCATAAATATTTATGTGTGTGCTTTTGTAGGTGAGGAGTATATAAAAAGCCTGGTAGCTAATCCTGATCTTGTAGATCGTCTTGCTTGTGTATCTGATGAAGGGGTATGTTTTTATTTTCTTTTTATAAAATAAATTAATCACAAATGGTTTGCAGTATGTTATTGGACACCATATGTCAGGCTACTACCGTCAGTTTAGAAGATGAGGCCTCTGGACTTTATTACCGTTTTGGCAATATAACTTTCTGACAACTGAAGAGAAAAAAGGAAATATTGCAGCTGTTTTTACTGCTGCTTATATGCCTGTTAGTAGTTAGTTGTTTGTAAAAAAGTCAGTTCTTTAGATAACTGATGTGAAGATGAGAATAATAACAATTGGTTAGAGTGTATAAATATTAGAAATAATAGAAACAAAATGAAAACTACGGAAGTCTATATTGCAAACCATTTAGGTCTTTGTTTTGTGTCTATTATTTGAAAGTTTATGTTAATTTATTATTGATCAAAAGCATTTTGTATCAAAAGCTCTGTTTTCTGTGGTCAGTTAAGTTGA